ACTTGCACTTTTTAAAAAGTTTGGGAGTATAATTACAATTTATTTTTTATATTTCTTTTCATTTTATTTGTTTTATTTAAATTTGAGGGTATAATGATCATTTTACACTGAAAAATAGTGAAAAGGATGTTTTCCACACTGAAACGTTGAAATAGGGGCAAAAATGCAAAAAAATGAAACGTTGGGACGTTTTGCACACTAACTATCAAACGTAGGGACGTTTTGTGCTAATAAGCCCATGTAGAAATAATAAACGTTACGAGTTCAATTTTCAATACCAATCTCAATTCCTTACATGATTAATCTATTCTCATTTATCACGATATTAGCTTATGCCCCTGTTTGGCCCCCATTTTTTGGGGTTGAAAATTTGAAAAATAGTGATTGATGGAAAAATGTGTGGTGGAAAAGTTTTAAATTTGTGTGTAATATTATTTTATTTGAGAATGTGTAGTTGAGATGAACAGAGAAAATTAATGTAATTTAATGAGAAAAAAGGGGGTCAAACGGGGGCTGAGTATTGAAGATGAGGCCTTCGTTTAATGAATAGATGTTTCCCACACCGTTGTCTTCTTCACTGGTTCGAACCGTTTTACAAGGTGTCTTAACTTGCTGGCCATGGCTACTTAGGGTAATGCTTCATGATATCTTTCTTCACTAGTATTGAGTTTCCAATTCCTACGTGATTCTTACATGTGTTTATACTTTATACTTGTTCCAATTGAACACGGTCTTGTTATTTCTTAATCCAATGAATTTGACAAATAAATATTAATCCTTAACTTAGGCTAAACTAAGGGATTAGGTTTATTAAAACCCTTATTGGGGTGCATTTGGGTGTGAGTGTAGTGATTTTAAAATTTTTAATAGATTTAAATCATTAGACTAACTTAAATTAACGGCTATGATTATTTGTCAAATTCATTAGTAAGATGAATGATATCGAATAATTGTTATTGCTTTCATCTCACTCTAAATCATTTCCAAGATTTTAGCCACAATCAGAAAAAGATAGGAGAAACTTTTTAGTTATGAATCAGGTTCATGAATGAATAATGATGAGCGACTTCCTTTGTACATTTTAAAGGAATGTAGTTAGAAATTCATAATAGAGTCCGATCACAACAATCGAACTAATAGCAAGAAAAAGCCAATTATCAACATCGTTGACGAGTTTGAATATCTCATGCGACTTTCCATCAACCGATGATGAACCTAAATATATCCAATACAAAGTCTATGGACCAAGGAAATTATTTCTGATTGTTTTCAAAAATAATGTAAAACTCCAAATATGCAAGAACTAATCAAACTCGTTTTTACAAATTATCGTAGTTGAAATCTATTATCCATTTTGTTCTTCAATTTGTTATCCACTCAGTTGAAATCTATTATCCATCGTGAAAAATTAAAGTTGTCGTCAATTTTAATTTTCTAACCTTAACATCAATTTTTCATTTTTCATGACATATCAATTTGTAATTGGATGGACAGCAAATTAGATAACATAAATGAACAACAAATCTCAGCTCAAAATATCATCGTGCCACTTAAATTCTTTTCAAAATTGAGCCCATGTTTGGTCTCCATTATTTCAAATTATAATTTTTGAAATAGTATTTTTTTGAAAAGTATGTTAGAAAAAACGATTTTTTTTTTATTTCCGTGTAATAATATTATTTTATGGAAGATTGTGTGAATTAAAATTACTCTGCTCATCGTATGAATTAAGAAAAACATTTAAAAGCACCCACAAATCCAAAAAATTATGTGAACCATAAAAAGCAACCGCATGTTATTCTTCAATCATTCATAAAATACAAAGTCTAGCCACACTATCTAAACCAAAATAAGAACAAAAAATCTCATTGAAAATTTTGAAGGAACCGAAAACTTGTAAATCTCCAATCGACTTCTAATTGAAAAACAGAAATTAAGCCTTGCTCAGAATCTCTCTCCAAATCGGAAGAATATTGCACCAGTTCCAGAGTTATGGTCGACGGCATACTCTGTTCGTACTAAACCTAGCTTGACTCCGAGACCATACGAAGAACCGTGACCCATTCTTCGGTAAACCTCCGTAGGGTTTCCTTTGACATCCTTTGAACTCCCAAGATCAGTCCCATGTTCTGCAAATACATAAGCGTGTGTATTTCTCACAGGAATCCGTAGCTCAGCAGCCAGCTGCAGATAGCATTAGAATCAATGGATCAGAAAAAGAAAACAGAGAGAATTTTCTGTCCCTGTTATTAATTCTTGATCAAACATGCATAAAAGTTCCGCATATATTAAAACTAAACTCAGTCAACTTCATAGCAAAATGAGGCTCAACAAATTTTACGTATTTTCACCATTTTATAGAACACAAGCCATGTGCACTCGCGCAGAGCATGAGGCTAACTGCTGTTTACAGTTATAAGTGCATACCTCAAGTATATTTCTTGCAGCTCCCAACTCTCCCATGTTGTAACCCCGAACAGAATAAGGTCCCCCCAAAGTAAAAGCATCGTAACTGGGAAGATCTCCAACACAACCACCATAATGGCCATGAAGGACTAATACAGGTGGTGGAGGCTTGCCAGCAGCTTCCTCTACTTGCTTCAATTGGAAAAATTGGGTCACTGTTAACTGGTGCCGGTTAAAGAATGGGAACTTGCTTCCAACACCAAGCCCTTGATCAAGCTGCAGTCAAAAATCAAAGAATGACAAAAAAACTCAGTCACATTTTGCTCAGCTGAAACTTCTAGCTATCTCCCCATATTTTAGGTGGGTGTATGCAATATCATAGTAGCTCCCTGACATTTAATGAAAAAACATAAACAGAGGCAAGATGTAAAAAGCTAAGCATAAACTTAGAGATCAAAATCATTCAATCAGGTTTCTGGAAAACCTATAATGCTTACCCATCAAGGGAAGGAGAGGATATAATTTTAAGGTATCTTACTGTTTACACGAAAGACAGCATACAAGCTGACAAGATGATCCCTTGTACAGAAGAATAGAAATAACATCACTTGATTTAAGGGCAACTTAGCCATGCAACTGAATCAGAGAATAGAAATAGTGTAGTATATATGATAATACAAAATCCTTGCTCACCTGGAACACATTTCTCTCACCAACTANCTCTGACCAACTATAGCCCCATTCACGAATTTTGTATTGTCACGGGTGATATTGGCTTGTAAAAATGCCATACGGGCAACACCAGTGCCACTGAGTGGTGTCGGGGGTCCATCAGCACTAACTCCTCCATTTGGCAACACTCTTTGACCATTTGCAGAAATGTGACTGCTTTCATCACGGGTTGTTATCTCCTCCATCACAAGTCCGTAAGTAAACTTGCTTTGACGGGTGAAATTCTGCAGAAAATGCATTTGTCAACCATGCTCAAGTTTACTATTTAACAAACCTACTGACTTGTTAATAAACAAATTGTTAAGTCGCTTTTATTGTCAGTGCTAACCTGAAAAATCTAGAAGGAAAAAAAAAGGTCACTACGATTAAACAAAGATAGCAACTTAAAACCAATCTTTCCTCAATTTCCTAGTTCTCAGGGTTGCTAAAACTGTTGTTGAAACATATTATAAAGAATGGCTTTCAGCTAAGTCCATTTATGTCCAAATCACTGTGGTCTACCTCTGTAATGTTGGCTTTAACTCCAGCTCTGTCAACCCATATAGGGGGAACTTCATCTATTCCAGGCCCACCGGTGAAGACTGGACTCAGCTTTCTACTGTTGAAGCAGCTAGTACGGAAGGTACGGTTGCGAGGATTGTATACACCATCTAAATACGGATGAACATACTCCAGTTTAAAAGCTAGATCATCCTGCAGATATATTTGGCTGAAAGTTGTTATGAAACGACGGCATATTACTATTCCAATAAAGTATCTTCTAACAAGACCAGGATTAAATCACCTGAGGATTGAGGAAGTTGCTGGTGGTAACTGAACCAAGAATGGACCTATTCAACCCGTTAATATTCCGATGCTCAAAAGAGACAGTTCCACCAGGCTGGACTGATGCCTGTATACAAACAAGCAACAGTTAACAACCAAATACAGAGAGCTTTACTGAAATTCAGAGATAAAACTTTTATATTATTTACCAGTGTAGGACGACCCCCACGTCCTGGTACGATGCTCCATTCTGTACTAACTTCAGCCGACTTCTGTTCCAGTTCCTTGAGCTTGATTTCAACAATAATACCTCCCTCATTCTTCTCGTCTGGACGTGGATTTACCTCAATATTAGAGAAGAGAGCTAGAGAATTTATATTTCTCAATGCTTGCTTCCCAGCCTCAATGTTAAATACTTGACCTTGGCGAAGCTGTTAAGCAATATAACAATATGAGGACATTCAAAAAAATCACTTGATAAACTTAGTCATATACCCATAATACAAACAATGTTTGCAACTCAATAACTCCAAAAACAAGAAACTGAAAACTTGCCAGATTTCCAAACTAAATAAAGTATGCAACACATTCATACTTATCCTAGAAAAAGACGCAGTCATTTTGACATTTTAACATGATAGAAACATAACACATTATATACCAATTCGACAGCTGATACAAAAAAAATCAATCATCAAAATCTAGAAGGACGTAAAATTATGAATATATTGAATTCTTAAAGTAAAATCAATACAGATAACAGCTTTCTTTTGTGTGTTTTATTAGGACGTAAAAAGGATAATTCTTACTTATTGAATTTAATAATTCAGTAAGCCTGTCGGGAATAAACATAGCAAAATTTTCACATTCACACATGATGATGAATTGCATCACTTCAACAAAGCTCCTTACTTGCTTCTATTATAATTAGCAACTCAGAATGCCAGAAAGAATAGTAGACAGAATATTACTGTGAGAAAAATCAGATATACGAATGTTGTATAATTTGATGACAAAAGCAAAAATCAATAGACTCTTAACCTGATTGGGCATTTCTCTCTTTATTACGGGCATCTGAGTGTTCCCCTCACACACATTACCAAGCTTATCCTGGAACTGGATGACGAGTTGTGTAATATCCCCTTCCACAACCTCACAAACCACTTCCTTGGTATTCAAATTCCCAAAATTTACAACCTGTGCACAGGCATAACCATTCTCGTGGTACCACTGCTGCACCCTGTCCCTAATCCTCTGCAGCAATCTTGCGCTCACCTTCCCCTGCTCCCTCAACATTTGCAAGATTTCCCTCTGCACAGGCAATGGCAACAAACACGGCCTCGCCCTCTCAATCCTCCTCCTGTAATCTTTCTCCTGACTCCTGTAGTAATCTAACCTCTCCTTATCAGTCATATCGGTATCCATTTCAATAGGCTTGGACTGTGGCATCAGACCCACATTAATGCACCTGAATCTATCTGCAGATTGCCAAGTAGATTCTTGGAATGGAATGGTTATGTTGATAGTACCATCCGGATTAGTTTTAGTCTCCAAGTCGACTTTCTCGAACATTCCACAAGTAGCTAGAGTTTCTAACTCCTTCTGGAGCTGAGCCTTGGTGTATATCCCACCCGGCCGGAGCGACACCATCTCAAAAAATGAGTCCTCAGTACCGACAGAGGAACCACGACGGCGATCTAAAAACAATATATCCGAAACCTTATATTTCTTAAACCCACTAAGCTTGTTAAGCTGGACCACAATGTTGGCCGGTAATCCATGATTATCCCATTCTTGTTGGGGTTCATCATCCTTCGCAATTGCCACAAGAGAGAATATACGGGACCAAAATCCACCACCTTGCCCTCCATTTCCTCCACCTCCACCACCGCCATTTCCGGAATTGAAGTTAGAATTTCCACCGGAGTGTTGAAATGCTAGGTGGAAGAGGACTCCAGACGCGGCAGTAAGAGCGAGAGATTTGGGGACGGAGACGAAGGGGTTGAAGAAATTAGGAGACGGAGACTTCGAGGATTTAGGGTTTTGGAAGGAAGTGGCTAGAGGTTGCAGATTGGATTGGATAATGGAATTGGAGGTGATACGGGTGGTGGTGGTTGTGGTGGAATTACGACGACGGGGGAGGGATGGGGAGGAGGTCAGGTGGAGGAGGCGGGTCGGCGCGGCCAATGGCGCCATTGTCAACGGAAGACGAAATTAAATGTAAGAAGCTGAAGGGAGTGGAGAGGGTTTACGAGTGAACATACACTGGAGGAAATAATATATGAGGAAATACAAGGAATTGTACTACTCTTTGATCACTAAAAAAAAAGTTAAAATGTATATTAGGGTAAGCTAAATACCAAAATTCAAAAATATAATCTTTTATCTTTTACCAACAGTCTGAGAGAGAAGGAAAGAGAAATTGAAAATTACTCACACAATTCACAGTCGGGATCCAATCGAAAAAGCACTGTCAAAGTCAAACAATCGCCGACCACCACACACCGACCATGATCTTCAACAATATTAGTTTCTTTTGGAAAGATGAGATTGCTTTTTTATTTATTGTTATGTATAATATTTATTCTTTATTATTTAGGTAGATAATTGGGTTTAGTGGAGATTTAGATACATATATTTGAGTTTCTGGAGCTTAACTCGGTGAGAAAGTGCCTATTTGTGCTTGGGCCGACTGTAAACCTAGTCGACTATTAAGAGTCGCCCACTTTTGGGTCAACTATTAAGTCAATTTTGGACAGTCTGGTTTACTCAGAAACTTTTTTTTTCTCCATTTTCTTTTCAATTTAATTAAATGATTTTTATATTATTTATTTAATTTTCATAATTTTCTTTTGTTTAATTTTTTTTATAATTTTATAGAAATAGTTTTAAAATTTCTTAATTAATTATTTTTTTGATTGAAATTATTTTTTCCCGACTGTTAAAAATCGTCGTTTCAAACAGTCGGCCCAAAGCCCTTTTTTTCATTTTCTTTTCAATTTAAAATTATTTTTCTTTCCTTTTTATAATAAAATTTCATTTTCTAATTTTAATTATATAATATTTATATTCTTTGTTAATTTTTTTCAATTTAAAATTCTTTTTAATTCNATTTATATTCTTTGTTAATTTTTTTCAATTTAAAATTCTTTTTAATTCTTAATTTTCTATATTTTATTATTTTCTTTAATTTATTTTTTATTTTTGCCCATAATTCAATTCACTTAATTTTCTGAAATTATACTTATTCCATTATCTATTGTTGAATATTCTAATATTTGAATTTTTGCAAGATGGAGTACTATCTAGAAGTGGAGATGAGATAGATGGCGGGAAAATGTACGTGGAACAGTAGCTTTGACAGTTTTACTACTGTATTGGAGTTGCCGGATGATAAGCACGCAGATATCATATGTCGATCCTTCATGTAGCCTCTATATCAGTTGAGAGAGGTACAGTATTCCGGACAAATTATTGATGCATTACTATGTCACCTACTTAGGCTAGTCGACGGCGATGTCATTCACTTTGACCTCGGGGGCATGATCGTTACTTTCTCCATGTTTGAGGTTGCCCTAGTGACTGGACTGAGAATAGCGGGAGACGAGGCAACTATGGACGGTACCCAAAGAAGCAATAGGCTATACGAGACGTATTTTCAGGAACAGGGAACGGTGCTTCTACCGCAGTTAATCGGAGCAATTAGGGAGTGTGACCAGATGTTGGACATATTGAAACTAGGACTGGTCTACATCATTGAGAATGTGCTGATGTGTCATTACACGAAGACTGCGATCGACCTTTTCCATTTAGAAATTGTTGACGACATCGATGCTTTCAACAACTATCCGTGGGGTCGAAAATATTTTGAGGACACTTTTTACGTCTTCACCAGATCACACTCGAATCTCGAGGGGTCCACGCATAAGTGTTGTAGCGACCGCGAACTTTTAA